AGTACACACGAAGGAGACTCCATACGAATGTGAACAGTGTGGAAAGAAGTTTAGACAAAAGATGAATTTGAAATGCCACATGAGGATACATACTGGAGAAAAACCTTACCTATGTGAACATTGTGGAAAGAGTTTTCATCAAAGTTGTAATTTAAAAAGTCATTTAAGGATGCATAGAAGAGAGACACCTTATGATTGTGAATATTGTGGAAAGAAATTTATTCGAAGTGGTACTTTTAAAACACATGTATTAAGGGCACACACTGAAGAGATACATTATGAATGTAAACATTGTAGAGAGAAGTTTAACTGCAAAGAACATTTGGAAAATCATATGGTGGTACATACAGGAGAGACACCTTATTTATGTAAACACTGTGGAAAAATATTCAGTGAAAGGGATAGTTTAGAAACACATATGAGGAAACACACAGGTGAAACACCTCATGAATGTAAACAGTGTGGGTTGAAGTTTAGGACAAGTCGTACTTTGAAGCATCATATGATGGTACACACAGAAAAGACACCTTATAAATGTGAACTGTGCGGAAGTAAGTTTAAGTTTAAAAGTTATTTGAAATCACATACTTGTACAGTAAGTAAAGAAGAGATGCCTTATGAATGTGAACATTGTGGAAAACAATTTAATAATCAAAAACATTTTAAAAAACATCTGAGGATACATACAAGGAAGACATGCTATATATGTGATTACTGTGGAAAAATGTTTAAGCATGAAACAAATTTGAAATATCATACAAAAATACACAGAGGACAGGCATCTTATGAATGTGAACATTGTGGAAAAAATTTTGTTCACCGTAATAATTTCATAATGCATTTAAGAACACACACGGGAGAGAAACCTTTTGAATGTGAGCAGTGTGGAAAAAAGTTTAGTCAAAATAGTAATTTGAAAGCACATCTAAATATACATACAAGGGAGAAGCCTTATGTATGTAAACTTTGTGGAAGGAAGTTCAGGTTAAATGGAAATTTAAAAAAGCATTTGAGGGTTCACACCAAGCAGACACCTTATGATTGTGAACAGTGTGGAAAGCAATTTAGGCAAAGTTGTAATTTTAAAAGACATTTGGAGAGTCATAG